TAGTGATTTCTTCTAGATCAGGGCTTCTCAACTCAGTTGGAAAGTTACAGAGCTGCTGAGCTACGGATCCCTCAGCCCTTGGGGGCAGCCTGTAGGGCCTGTGCCTGCGAGAGGACTGAGACCTGGAGCAGCTTTCTCTGTCAACCCAGGGGCCACATAAACATCATTTTCTGTGGGTAGCATGTTGTGAAGATAGTTCTAGAATAACCATGACTTCTCATTTCTTCAACATCCTCCTTCTAGGATCCACCTCCACAGTGTGCCTGAGGGCCCACCCTGATCAGGTCCCTGCCCTGCTGGCTTCCCATTCCACTAGCAGAATCCAAGCGACTTGGTCTGGAATTTTCTGGCGGCCTACTTTTCTTGCCTGACTTCTCACCTGTCTTCTTTGAGCTCTTTAAGTCCCAAACAAACCCACTACTGTTTCCTGAATACGTTCCAATCTTTCTTGCCTCCAGCCTTTGTCCCCGAGACTCATTACTTCAGCTAGAAAGCCTGATCCACCTCCGCCTTTCTACTCAAAAGTTCACTTCCTCTGGGCTACCTCCACTCTAATTTCTCTGTCCCTCCATAACACCCTTAAAGCATCCATGGGATTCATCCACTCAAGAACTCATGCCAGCAGGCCCACATATTTCAGTTCAGACGCTTTACGCTCGTGTCCCTAGGATAAACACAGTGACTGGCACACAGTAGATGCTGGTGGGATGGATGAACTCACAGCGGAGTTCCTGTACCAATATTAAGGCATTGAGATTTTTCTTCCCCGAGTGGGAAGAAAAGTGGGGATGATTGCAGTGTTTCTAGCAAGTCCTCAGAGAAGGAGGGCAAAAACAAAGTTTTGGACTATTACTATGTGATAGCCATTAGGCAGAACTACATACACACACAATCTAATTTTCTTCAGATCTAAATATTGCTGATAGTCTTCTTTTAACAAATGAGGAAAATCCAGGTGGAAGGACTCCTCTTCCTCCAGCTCCAAATGTGTCCAGTCTTCGGAACTCAGCACAGTTGCTTCTCTTTGGAGATGGAAGCAGAGCGGGGAGGGGGCTGTGCTCCCCTTCTGAATGCTCCTCTTCACCTCCACACTTCAAATACCCTTCCAGTTCCCACCACAGGCTGAGCTGAGAGGCACCCAGGGTGCCACAGACCTCCCCCACCGCCATCTCCCTACTTTTCCACGTCCTAGGGCAGTGGGTGAGGGGGGTGGAGGGTCTGGCAGGTAGTGGCTATGGATTCTACCTTCCTCCCCCCTTGACCCTTGTATTCCAAGGTGGTGTGGGTGACTTGGTAGGTACATGTCACATTTGCTATCCTAAAGGCTTGTCTTCACTACTTCAACATTTGCGAAATCAAACCTCTAGTGTTTGAGAGATGAACTAGTCCAAATTCTTCCTCTTTTGAAGCAGGGAGTCAGCAAGAATTAGCTCTTTACTCGCCCAGGTGGAGCAGATAGAGTATACCTGGAGGATGAACTTATGGAGGGCAGGGCACAGTCCTAGTTCTCTTGGTGCCCATTACACGGTCTGGCCCACTGCCACAATTGAGATCGACTTAGTAATTGTTGATCACTAAGTTTAATTAGTTTTTGGTTGTAGAGAACTCTATTAAGAATCTTGTGATAGCTGGTATTGGATTTCCATCTTTAATCTTTTGGGAGACAAAATCAAAACTGGGTGGCAATGTCAAATGAAATACCTTCTGCCAGCTGGCTTTGGTATTAGACGTTGAGGTTTTATCTACAGGTAATTAAAACAATGGTAAGGACAAACTTAGAAAAGTATGACTCTCCACCAGTGTAGAATTGATCCCAAAGGGCAAACTTCAAGATATTTTTCACCTACTTGATCCAAGAGTCCATCATGTTGCTTGGGACTTGGAACCAAATCTTAGAGGGTTTCTATAAGCTGAATAATTTTTATAACACATCTATTAAAATGAAAAACACAACTCAAGCTACTAGGAATAGTTTTACAATGGGGTGGAGTTCCCCCTAACTTGGCTGCGAGTTAAACGTGTACACAGAAAAAATATTTACGCTGTTGTCACCAGAAGACTGAAGTACTGTGCTTGACTTTCGATATGCAGGAGGGCACTGTCGATGACCGAGTCACCTGCTGGACTCACGTGAGGAGGACCTCATTAGGGCCAACACTTAGCTGGGCAAAACCTCTGACACTCAGTGAAGGCAGAGAGTCTATATCCCGCCTCCCTATTTAGAAGCTCCTCCAGGGCGACATGACTCAGCGCACGCCAAAAGTGGCTATCAGCCATCATGAACACACCATCAATCTGCTTTTATTAAATTGTCTGGTTGTCTGTGGAGGTCAAAAGTGGGCCAGAGAAAAAGTCTGCTTGACTCATTTACTTTGGAAATCTCACGATAGAGTATCTCAGCTTTGTGCCTCTCCTAGCCTGTGAAGTAATTCCACGGGAAGACCTGGAGATAAACTCAGCTATTTCATTTCTGGGGTTAAACAAAGGGGGAGGGAGAACAAAGGATTTCTTGGAATAAGATAGAGTGTCATTGATGCTTTATTTACATGCGTCATCATCTCTTTTACAAACTAGATTACAGTTTTAAATGGAATACACAAAGCAATATCTACAAACACCAAGGGAAGTAAGTACTGAGTCTCTATTTCATTTGGAAAGGGGAAGAATCCCAAATCAAACTGGTTTTGATTCTTGAGAAGAAAAGTGGTAGAGTTAATTCATGGCAACATATGGTTAGACAAGATCCTCAGTAAGAACGCAATATGATAGTGTTCGCCTTGAAAGAAAGGATGAGGTGCTTCAAACCAAAGTGTCAGCTGCTTGACTCTTAGGTGTTTGAATATGGCCATGCACCATATTTCATTCTAGTTTGTATGGGGTATGAGCAAGAAATTGAAACAGATAAGACAGTTTTACAGATACTGTATACAGATTTTTTTTTCCATTCATGCAACTTTTTTTCTTAAAAAAAGTTAAACATGTGAAGCCAAAACGCACAATACATTTTTTATTTTTAATATTAACTAATTTTTCTGGTCCTCCTTCACATCTGTTTACATTTCCCGTGTACCTCATGTGCTAGGACAAGTATATGAGAGAAGACTGATTGCCAGGCAATGAAATAATTTTAGAGAAATAAGTGACCAGACACACAGTTTTTTAAAGCAGCCACACAAGTATTTCTGGAGTGTGGCAAAGGCCTCGGAACCAATCATTCATCAAAGAAAAATACATAAAAATAAAACTGAACAAGAGTAAATATTTCATTCATTCAACCTGCATAACATGTTACCCACGAAAGATTTAGTTCCGATATAATAAACTCTTGTCAGTTACTTGGGCATCTGCTTTCGGCTCTTGTTTGACAGACATGATTTCACAAAGCCTCCACTTTCCCTGCCTCGTGCCTGCCTCCCCCCGTCTCCAGGAGAGGCTGGCTTTCTGGTACCTCTTTGCCAGTGACTGTATTTCTACAAAAAAATTTGCTTAATTTTTTTTAAAAAACGTTATGCCTAATCATACAATGTTCCCCAAATACAGCAGGAAAAAGGAAATCAGAGTTCACAGCTGTCAGGGTTTTGTTTCTGCTTTGAGAAAGGGTAACATTTTTCTTTCCCCCACCAGCCCGTGGCATCAGCAAACAAATGAGACTGGCTGTCTGCTTAACTCTTGATGGTCCTTCCAAGAGATTCAAATGTTCCTTATTCTTTAAGTGGGGTTCTTTAGATCGAGGCCAAGTCTGTCCCTACCATCTTTAACAAGTTCAGAAGCCACCTGAAATGACACCCTGAGACTGGGCATACCTGTCCTGAGCAGTGGGCCATGAGGGCTTCTCCTCAGGGTAGGGGAGTGACACACACGTAATGCCAAAACTCAACACACAGACAGACACACACATCAGTCAACTTTGGACTACGTGTGTGCACGATCCTCCCGTTAACAGGAAAGACAAACTTCTGAAATTTTTCAAAATATGTGTTTCAGCAATCATCATATTGCAGAGGAAGCAATACAGGAAATCGACCTCAGATTCATTCCCAGTTACCGCGGTACGCTGAACCTGGCAGTCAGTCCTCACACCGGACAGTGAAGGCTTGTGATAAAGCTCTTTTCTAACTTTGGTAAAAGGGATCCGGTCCTGGAGTCCTGAAGAGAACCACAGGGCCCCAGAGTGCATGTCATGTTTTCAACATTAGTAACTCTCCTTTCTAATTTCCCATCAACAAGTGGAAGGCTCCCTAGAGCAGCTTATTTAGAGGCTGAGGGTAGCTTTGGATAGTTCTCATTGGGCTGCAAACATTACAGCTGCTGCCCTCGGAGGCTCCTAAGTATTCCTCTGAGATGCTCCAGATCAGGAAACTGTGAGGGACCCGTGACACTCACCTCCACATGGTGGCCAACAGTTGGCCCTTCCTGAAAGCAGGGTCTCAATATAAGACAGAGGGCTCAGGTCACACCTCTACCCAGTCTAACTGCCTGGGAACTCAGTTAGTCTACGGGAGCTGGCCTCTGGGTGGGTGGCCAGCTGAAGGTGACCAAGGGTACGAGTGGGGCTGCCATGATCCTAGACGGGCCTAACTATTTCATTCTTGCCTGACCCCCTCCTGGGATGGATGCTGGCACTTGACTTTGCCCTGATTTCAGATCTCCAGAATGCTCTAAATGTAGAAGCTGTTTGAATTAAAGAAAAAAAAAAAAAAAATTCAAAGCACCCTTCCCCCTCCATTTGGCTGATCTGCTCCATGGCTGCCCTGCTCTCATACTGCCTCTGTCCCTCCCTCAGCTGTTTTAGATTAAATTATAATCTGGTTCTGGGACATTTTGTAAGGCATTCTGCCTGAAATCTAACAAACGTTGGGAAAAAAAGAGAATAAATGAGATGCCACATGTCTGAAAGGAATTCAACATTTTAAAGTCAAAACACATTTGAGGGTTGCCTTTCTTTCTCCCAAAGTAGCTCCCAGGGTCTATAAAACTGCAAAGGCAAATTACTACTTTTCAGTTTGCTTGTTTCTTCGAGCTCAGGAGAGAAATTCTCAAGGCCCTCCTGTTGGAAGCACTCTGGATTCTCCCTTGCATCCGATAACCCCCTCACCTCCCCACCCCAGCTACTGTCGCTGTCTCTGAACTGCTTCTCCCTCCAACCAGGGCAGCTGCACTTGGGAACCCAGAGAGGCAGCCCTCTTTCACTGACACCGGACAGTTCTTGTGTACAGCAGACTCCCAAAGAATCGAGGCAATGGCTAGCATTATTACAAAGGAATATAGTAAGCAAAAGTCTGTCTCACTGACAAGCAGACCACGTGAATAGAATACATATTTTAAAAAATTATATGTACTTTTAAAATGAAGATTATAAACTTGTAGCAGTTTAGAAAAGGCGATATGCTACAGGTCTACCATAACCACAATTGCACGACAATTTACAGATTCAGGAAAAGGCAGGGTGAAATCAACAGGGCCATCAAACAGGACAACCCAAGCGAGGTGGGCGAGACGTGTGACAATACCAAATGGAACTTTCATGATGCTAGGAGCTGTTATCACCACCAATGTCACCCCCAGAAGAATTATAAAGCAAAGGTACACAAGGGGGCCCCTGGTGGCCGGTGTTGGGTGCAGGGGGTCAGGTGGCACGTCTGTGTTGGTGGGAGGGAGTCAGTGCCCACTGCACGGTGCAAGCATCTGCGAGAACTCATGCAGGCAGGTCTGTGCTGAAATACTAGCCTGTATTCCTAACGTCCATGCAGAATGTTCCATTTTTGTACTGTACATGAATAAAATATATTTATACATTTATATGCCTAATGCTTTTTATGCAAAGAAAAGAGTCTTCATATACCACTTTGGAGAAGTATGCATATGCTGTGCTAATCAGAGCATCCCTACACCAGTTTCATATGTACCAAAGGTGTTCCCAACTATTCTGTCTACCAAAGAGGGTCACTAAGATAATCACACTTCCCGGGTTAAACAGAAAGCACCTATACAGCACCATAACTTTTTGAAAACAAAATAAAATGAAATCCACTGAAGCAAGAAAGTGGGAGAAAAAAAGTCAAAACTGCCCTATTTTGTACTTCCATCGTGTCACTTGTACAATTACAATCTAAGCTTATATATATATAAAAAAAATCAGTTTGTATGCTATTGCCTGTCACTCATACACATCTAGTGGATCAGATTATACACAGCAAAGCTGAAAATAATCAAGGGTGTGTATTTAGGAAAATAGTGACTTGGGTTTGTACTTTTCACATATTTCTCACCGCAGGCTTAATGCTCACCTGTTAAGTTCATTTCTTCTGCAAAGCAAAACAGGACTACTTTTTTTTCCTTGTCTTTTCTCCTAAAAACTAAATCCTTTAGTGGCATTTGGCAACGAGTGGACAGCTGAGCTGATTTCTTCCTTGAAAAGATCCTAATTTCTAACCAACACACCATCACTGTTCACTGCATTAGCTGAGGATACTGACAGGAGACCACAGGCCCTATGGATCTGGCAACTGCAGACCAGGTGTGGGGGATCTCGGCCCCTGAACACCCCGACTCATTCCTGAAACACACTGGGTCGGACGCCGAGCTCCATCCGTTCTGCCTGTGCAGGGTTCAGTCTTGGACTGGTGCACACAGCAAACAGTTGTGCCATTGTTCAGTTTCTAGAAAAGGATAGTTTTCTACCAAACAAAAGAAGAAAGAAAATCCCCCTCTAGTTTATGTAATTTGTTAGTTTATGAAGTTCTACGGGCTCAAATGCTTGTGACGCCCAAAGCCAGAATGGTAACTGGTACAACATTTTCCTTCTGTTTTTAAATTTGTCAGGGTAAGGATGATTAACATTTTAACATAAAAATACTGCAAGTTAAAGCATGTGAAAAACTCAAAGTCAAAGGAAAACAGACACAAAAACAACACTTAGAACATCCCATAAACCATCGAGATATTAAAACACCACGGCATTGCCCAAGGGGGCTCACGGTGTGCTCTGGACGAGGGTGGGTGGTGCTAACAGGGTGCTTGTCCTTCGCTGGCAGATGGCTCATCACCCCATACAAGGAAGAGTTTGCATACTGTAGAGAGTTCAGTTCCAAGGGTAAGTGCTTCACCCAGGGTAAGGGGCCATTAACAGTCTCTGCTGGGTTAGGAAAATGGTGCAGGATTCACAAAGGTGTTAAGCTGTAAACGGTATCACTGTCCACTTGCTGAGAGCAGATTTGGCAAAGGGTTTTTCTCTGTAGGTCTTGTGTCAGTTTGAGGGTCTACAGGAGGAGAAAAGAAAACCAGAGATGATTAAGGACATTCAAATAGCAAGAGTGGGCATCTCAGGCTCACACTTCATCAGCTTCCCGTCTCCTCACCCAGCTCCGAGCCAAGGGGACTCAGAGTAAAGCTGTGTTGCTTCAAAAATCCTTCAAACCTAATGACAAAGCATGGAGAATACTTACCTTCTTTCTGTGCTGGATTACAAAATGCCCTCCAGTTGAAAAGCCTAGAGAAAATGGGGCCATTCACTTCCGGAGGTTAACAAAGAAAGGCAAATTAGGGGTGCTGTAGTGGGTCCTTTCAAGTTAGGGATGTCCAGGGTGCAGGTGGGGTTTTGCTCTAGACTTCTGGATTGCGGGTTTCCTGGGACACAGGACTTTCATGCTAAAACCAGGGAAGTTGGTCACCCTAAGCAGACCAGCTATGCTTTTCTGGTTCTACCCGGCTGGCTATGTGGACCGACCTTGTTAACCGCCCCTTCCATTAACATCCCAATACCAGGGGAGATGAAATGGCCACTTGCCACAAAGGCTTAAGCAGTCTGTGCTGCTGGGTGGGGTAGTCTTGCCTTCCCTCACTATCAAGTAATCTCTGAGTGGGCTGTTTTAGGAATTGGCTTTTTGTATTAAAAATCTGCAGACAGGGGCCGGCCTGGTGGTGTAGCGGTTAAGTTTGTGTGCTCCGCTGCGGCGGCCCGGGGTTTGCAGGTTCAGATCCCAGGCGCGCACCAACGCACCGCTTGTCAAGCCGTGCTGTGGCGGCATATAAAGTAGAGGGAGATGGGCACAGATGTTAGCCCAGGGCCAACCTTCCTCAGCAAAAGAGGAGGATTGGCAATAGATGTTAGCTCAGGGCTAATCTCCCTCACAAAATAAATAAATAAATAAAAAATCTGCAGAGAAAAAAAATTATATACCACACATATGGCCAAAAAAACCTCCCACAAAACATCCCTATAACAGTTAACAACATTATTATTATTTTGCCTCCAACAGTCTTCAACGTAAGGCACAAAAGAGGTCCTCTCAGAGCATCTGAATTTATACAAGTCTTATCAGACTTCATGGGACCACTGAAGTAGAAGACTAAAAAAATATATACTCATAGAGATGTAGCTAAAGGAAGTGAGACGACAGGCCTCAAGACATGAGACCTTTTGTTTACGGAGACAGCGTCAGCTGTCCTGGTAGAAAAAAAAATGGCTCTAGGCCAAGAAATAGATAGAAAAGTGGCAGTGAGGCAACAGGAACTCACGATCTTCTCGCCAGATCAGGTTAACAGTAATGAAAAATGCATCCCTAAGCTCACACACACAGGTTACGGGACATCTGCTTCTCCCCCCTCTAGAGGAGATATTATTGTAAGTTCATTGGGAATTTTCACAAGTATATTGTGACTTCAATCTCTTCTGTGGCTGGATGGGCTGGCCATCTTACCTCTCACTACCAATATTCAGAAAGATGGCAGGGCGTGCTATCTGTAATGTTCCACACCCACGGTCACAGTTCCCCTTGTCATGGCTCCAAATAGAAGAACTCAGGTTGTTTTATCGGAGGCAGAGACAATAAAGCAGGAAAAGGAGGCTCCTTCTTCCCACCCATTCCCAGTCTTTAGTTTCCCTGGCTGATGGCTTTTTTGGAGGTATTCTGCTTTGTAAGGGTATCAGACATTATCCTGGACTATTTGATAATGGCCTGTTGATTTCAGAGGCAGAAAAAGCTAAACTAGATACAGATCTCAGTCTCCGTGAGGAATTTAGCCTGCTAGGACCAGTGCTATTCTAGCAACTCCACCTGGCACCCCTGAGCATGACGGACAGGGTGCAGATAGGGTGCTTTGGAAGGAGATTCGTTTTTTTCCCTTCACAATAACACTTAATAAACCACAATCTAACATCACTATGCAATTAGTCATCAGGGGACTCTGGTCCCCAAGTCCCGATCCTGACTTACCGTAAGCGCCACAGGAGAAGCTGTAAAGTATTACCTAATTCAGACCCCATCCCCCTGTTCCCTCTGGTGTTAATTATTCAGCCACGGAAACCAGTGCGTACTGGAAAGGTGGCACACTTCATTCCCCAAATACAGCCTGCTCTAATGCAGGCACCGGGTCAGCACGTGAGGGAAGGAGGCAGAGGGCACCTCCACCCCCCAGCATGGCATCATTCTAAGCAGAACAGGGCAGTAGCCCTGGAACCAGGGGCAGGAGGCCCACACTGAGCAGTCTAGAGCAACAAGCAACAACAATCCCCAGGCCAAATACCCATTCCTTCATCCAAAGACCAGAATCTTCAGGGGATTTCATCATTAAAAAGGAGACACACTCATCATCACTCTTTCCCCTTCTGCAGAATAGGCTTGGGGCCCTTGTGACGCTATGTCCTAGAGCTCCCCAGGGGGCTCACAGGCTATGCCCCCCAGCTGGCTCAGGAACCGGGCTTCGTGCCTAGAGGATAAGGTGGGAGAGGTCCAGGCCCAGGTTTACAGGGAGCTCTCACAGGGGGCAAATTTAATAAAGAAACTCCCACTCCACAGAACAGAAAGGTGCCTTGTTTTCTCTGTGATAGAAGGAAAATAGATTGTAAAGTATTATGAAAACATAAAGGAGCCAGATAAATGTTGAACAGAAATACAATCATCCTTCCAAGAGGAACAACAGAATACCATTCACTAGGAAGACCTTACGATGAAAAATAGTCCTTAGGAAAGCAGCTCCTCATCTGCCTTCGATTTTTAACCGCTCTTTGGTGCCTCAATGTTTGCACATGTTTATCTGACTCCATCAAGGCCTGAAAGAATAGAGTGAGCACATGAAGTGATGAGACCGGCTACTGAGCTGGGGATTTAATGATACTGAGGTTGGGTACAAGTTTCGTGGGTTTCAGTGACGCTCCCACCATTCTTACATTGTTTAAAGTAAGATGTTTTAGTTAACTGTGAGGTTTATGTGTATATGTTGATGCCCTTCTAAGTTTAAAAACACATCAGATTAAGAAAACTTTTGGAAGGAAAAGGAAGCACACAGCTGAAGGGAATTACGGCTATCACCTTCCGGTTACTAGGCAACAGGATAACTAACAATAAACGTGAAAATGTCCTGTCCCATCAGCGACTTTTATTAATAGGAAGGAGATCCCCTCCCTCTCCCTCCCAGCTCAATAAATGAGTTTGAAATCAGGCTGTTGATGCAAGGAAAATGAAATGGGGAAACCAAATGACAAGGCTCATTCTAAAAATAATCTATGGATGCTGTCATCCTGTCTCTGGTGAGAGCAAATCCCTCTCTAGTCTCGGCATCTACAGGGAAGAGAAGTTCCTGCCTCATTATCACACTAAATCACATGATGTTCTAAGGGCAATGCTTCCAAAAAACTCTACACAAAACATAACAACCCCAACCAACTTTACTCGGGGAGTAAAACATAAACGTTCCTACTGCTGTCCTTCCAAGACTTAACTCCACTGTGACAGATTTCAATATCTCAGCAGTGTTTTTATCTTCTCGGCAGAGAGGAGAGGAACAGGACCCCAGTACCAAATAGGACATGGAAGGAAAAAGAGCCAGGAGAATGAAACTCTTGCATCCACAAATTCATGAAGGTGACCACTGCTTTTCCAGCTAAAACTAAAAGATACTTGGAGGGAAGTCTGCCTGAAAAATAAAATTAAAGTGAAGCACCACTTTCCTCACTCTTCAAACATAATTTAAGCCAAACTTGCAACTCCTGGGGCGAACTGGGAATGAAATATGGAACATTCAGGATAGAAAAGGAAAAGGACTGATGGTCACTCAATCTGACAGGGAAGCCTCATGTGGAGTTCAGAGAACAGGTGTGGGTTTCCGAATATGATAGTTTCTACCCCTGAGCAGAAAGCAAAGAAACGCCTGCCTGCGGCCATCTCTGCTTCACCCCCAGAAGGATCTAACGGACCCCAATCCATCATGAGTGACAACCATCTGCCCGCATCCACCAAGGCTACTGTAGCTGGTGTCACCCCGGGGAAAACAGCATTTTTGCAGGTCTTGGGATAGGCAACCACGTCTAATTTGGGAGTGCCAAAATGGCAGCAGTTCCTTTAGAGTTCATCTTCACAGCCAAAACAGAGCAGCTCAAGAAAACACCTAAAGTTCACAACATTCTGCCTCAATTTGGTAATTTTTCAGCATCTTCTAGGTTGGAATGGCAGTGAAGAGGACTTAGGGAAGTGCATGAAAACCAGCCTGGTGATCGCTGACAGCTGGTTGGCCAGTGAAAACCCAGCCCTCTGCCTGCGACACTGGGCAGAGCCATCCTCCGTGACCGCCAGAGAAGGGGAGTTAGGAGTGCAGCTCTATAAAAATACATTTTGGCAAATGCCGTCAACTTGCCATTTTAGACACTGAATAGTTTATGAGGGAAACAGAACAGGTATGGAAGTTTTGGCCAGGCTGGAGGCCAAACTGGTATTCAGTTCAGGAGCCTCCCTAAAGGAAAGTCAAGTTTTCAGGAAATGCAGCCCAGAGGCTCCATGCTTTCTAATGGGCAAGCCTCATACTTAGGGACAAAATGAGAATGTTATAGAGAAGCTCAAAATAAGAAGCTTTTCATGGCAAAGGTGGCACTCAAGAAGACACTGGAGGGCCGGCCCCATGGCTCAGCGGTTAAGTGCGTGCGCTCCGCTAGTGGCGGCCCGGGTTCGGATCCCGGGCGCGCACCAACGCACCGCTTCTCCGGCCATGCTGAGGCCGCGTCCCACATACAGCAACTAGAAGGATGTACAGCTATGACATACAACTATCTGCTGGGGCTTTGGGGGAAAAAAGGAGGAGGACTGGCAATAGATGTTAGCTCAGAGCCGGTCTTCCTCGGCAAAAAAAGAGGAGGATTAGCATGGATGTTAGCTCAGGGCTGATCTTCCTCACAAAAAAAAAAAAAAAGATGCTGGAAAGACACAAAATAGATATACTATTTTTTTTAAAAAGCTTATAGTCTGTGTAAAAGCTTGACTCGTCTAAG